GTCTGACTTTGATCAGTTTATTTCCTTTGATGTAACAAATGATGGTTGGATGATGGTTGGATGACGGTTGGATGATGTAAACTGTAATATAAACTAGTAAACACAATCCTCTGTAAACCAACTGTCTGACTTTGATCAGTTTATTTCCTTTGATGTAACAAATGATGGTTGGATGATGGTTGGATGATGGTTGATGATGGTTGGATGATGGTTGGATGATGGTTGGATGACGGTTGGATGATGTAAACTGTAATATAAACTAGTAAACACAATCCTCTGTAAACCAACTGTCTGACTTTGATCAGTTTATTTCCTTTGATGTAACAAATGGTGGTTGAATGATGGTTGGATGATGGTTGATGATGGTTAGATGATGGTTGGATGATGGTTGGATGATGGTTGGATGATGTAAACTGTAATATAAACTAGTAAACACAATCCTCTGTAAACCAACAGTCTGACTTTGATCAGTTTATTTCCTTTGATGTAACAAATGATGGTTAGATGATGGTTGGATGATGGTGGATGATGGTTGGATGATGGTTGGATGATGGTTGGATGATGTAAACTGTAATATAAACTAGTAAACACAATCCTCTGTAAACCAACAGTCTGACTTTGATCAGTTTATTTCCTTTGATGTAACAAATGTCGATGACACAAAGAGCTGCTGTCAGAAGCGATGCTCTGTGGTGACATCATTCATGGCCTCATCATCCTCAGTTCCCTCCTCTTCCTCTCTGGATGAAGGTTTTCTCCTGGAAGCTGCAGAGTCACAGTCAGACAGTAGAAGACAAACAGGATCATTTGGTTGGTAGAGACCAGATCAGTCTGGACTGAAGTCATCCAGCCTGAGGTCTTCAACAGGTCTGACTTACCTGAGGACACCTGTGAGGAGSAAACCAGCAGGACGGTGAAGAGGATGAAGGAGTAGCCCTTCAGCAGGTAGGACATCAGGTTCAGCTGGTCTGCAGCAGAGTGTTGGTCTGAGGAGCTGGAAGCTGCAGAGACACACAAACAGCTGCTAACAAACACCTGAGAGGTGTGAGGACGACAAACAACAAGAAGAACTGACGTGWGACAAACAGCCAGCTGGCTGGAGACTGAAGACCGTCCCTCTGACACCTGTAGAGACCTTCATCAGACATGGAGACAGGCTGGAGCCTCATGTGACCTGTAGGCTCAGTCCTCAGCAGGGAGCCATCTTTAAAGAAAGCAGCTGAGCTGTTGGAGGGATCTGTCTTTGTCCGACAGCTCAGGGTGACCGTGTCTCCACTCCTGACTGGGAGGACTGGACTCTGCAGGATCATGTCTCTGTCTGGACAGAAGAAGAAGTTATGTTTGATGGTTGGGTTGTTAGAAGGTAAAKACTGAACTTCTGTGAGCTTTAGTTCAAATATTAATGTTAGAGAAAACAGGAGGTTGTAATTCAGTCTGAYTGTTGGWGCAGACTCAMCAGGTCAGGACTAAACCAAACKAAACTGGACTTTTATTCTGAAGCTCAAGATGTTTCTCTTCCTGTCCAGGAAGCTTCCTCAGWTCAAACTGTTTGGAGGAGTGTGGAGCTCCAGGTTTACAGACCTTCATGAGAGACCTCTTTAGTGCTTAGACCCACCTGGACCTYCTGGACCCTCACAGAGTACACTCCTCACACTTTGTAAACATTATATCTTTATGGGACAGTGTTAAAGACACTTAGTAAAGCAGTCAGTGTAAATTAACTTGAACAGATGGACCATTTCAAAATGAAGGTAAATCTGTTTAAAKYAACTTTCAAAATAAAAGCTGTAACTCAGGTTCTGTCCTACCGTGGACAGAGATGTGGACGGTGTTGCTGCGCTGCCTGGTCCTGGACTCACACCAGTAGAGGGCGCTGTCTGCAGGTTTGGCTGTCCTCAGGGAGCAGCTGATGTTTTTATGTCCCCACTGATGTCCACATGTTTCTACTTTCCCTCCAGAGGTGGGGAACCTCTTCACCTGCCARCCTTCAGACCTGCTGCCCCCCACACAGCTCAGGTTAAAGGTTTCATATTCAAACAGCTGAGACGAGTCCGGAGTCACAGTCAGAGACACCGGGTCAGAACCGTCTGAGGACAGAGACAGAGTTTTTACTTTTAMTTTTACATTTCTAATCAGTCCAGAAGATCAGGATCAGTTTTTATTTAATATCTTTGAAGGTTCTGCTGGTGTTTGGACTGGCTTCAGTTAGAACAAAACAAAATGAGTTCTTCTGTCAAATGTCAACAAAMGATCCATATCTGTGGTTCTGTGACCGGGTCAGTACCGTGTARGAGCAGCCAGCTCTGTGGAGAAGAGTTCGGACCCATCTGACACCTGTAGAGACCTTCAGCAGACCTGGAGACCTGCTGGAGACTCATGGTTCCTGTTGGATCAGACCCTATGAAGACATCATCTTTGAAGAAGTCAGCTGGGAGSRTGGAGGGTGTGTCCTTTGATTGACAGCTCAGAGTGACATCATGTCCCTCCATCACAGGGAGGACAGGAKTCTGCAGGATCACTGATCCACCTGAACACAGACAGGAAACAGAACATCTGGATCAAACAGATCAGATCAGTTAGCACTTTATGGACCTGCAGTCCAGTCCTGGCAGAACCAGGTTCTGAGGTTTTACCCATCAGGACATAATGAATGATCAGGTCTTGATCAGGTTCTGGTTCTGACCTCAGGTGAACACAAACCCAACAGATTCCATCGAGTCATTCTTCATCAAGCAGAACAAAAAGGTYAAGCTGTGTGAAAAACTGGTTCCAGTCTTGATCTCAGAGGTCCAGGTCCAGGTCCAGGCTCAGCTGATCAGTGGGACCACCTCTACCTGAGCTACAGGTGTGTTAACCCAACATCAGGGCGGACAGACCTCAGCAGTGACCTGACAGAAACACCTGGTGCTGCTTGTTGTCTTGTGGTTCTAAAGGTTCTGGAGTCAGCTGATGTTTGGGCCCAACTGGGTCCAACAGAACCATGATCCCAAACACAGTAGCTGATCTACAACAGAACAGATCAGAAACAGAACCAAGGTGTTGCAGTGGTCCAGTTCTGATGAAGTCCAGAACCTTTTCTTGTTCTCTGGTTTTAAAACCTTAAACCTGGACTGAGGACCAGTTCTGAGCTGGAAGATGTCAGTCCAGAGGTCCACTGATTGGTTCAGGGTCGGTTCTGCTGAGGTCTGAGCAGACTTCAGTGTCACATGCCGGGGTAAGGACWGGAGGCTAGACCGTCCAAATTCACAGCCTCTTTTTTTCCAGTCTTCCTGGTCWACCAAGGACCCAGCCCACCTCGACCGGGGAGTCTGGGTCCCCCGGAGGACCCGGCCTGCTGTTTTGGACACAGCCGGAGTGTGAAGTGGAGCAGTAAGTGAAATATGAAGTAAATCAGGAAGTGAAACAGGAATGAAACAGTGGGCCTTTCCCAATCAGTGGCTACACCCTCGCCCTGCTCCCTCCTCACTCAGTTTGTGCGTTCCCGTGGAGAGTTGGTCATATTAAGTCCCATCTGAAACCAGTTAGGTACGAGGGCGAGTGGCTTATTAACCCTCCACAGAGAGTCAGCATCCAATGCAGACTTGAGCAGCAGGTGCAGCACCAAATAGTGGTCAACATGGAGCATGAGACGTATAAATATAAGTTCCACATATGTTTTGTACACATATTTACTATGTAAACACCTCACAAACAAATATAATTTCACATGGGCTATAAATCATGTTCAATTCAGACTTTATTAAAGACACAGAACTCTGGTCCATATTTTAAAAAGAAGAAAGGAAACATTTTAAAAAATTAAGAAAAAATCAATTAATTTTTTTTAAAATGTTAAAAGTGCAAATATTTTGACAAGTTATCTTTCTTACAAATACAGTCACATCTGAAAACTCTCTAAATGTGGGTCTAATTAAATATTTTCTTTGGTCCTATTAAAAAATTGTTCTCCTGAATTCAGTCGCTGCCAGAGGTTGGACTGTTACCATGGTGACGACAGCTTCCTGTTCCGGTGGTGTGAGGAGAGCCTGTCTCAAAAGAGGAGGGTGTATAGAGCGCCATCAAGGGGACTCAGTTCAGCTGTGAGGGGGCTTCGCAGAGAGTGTAGTGTGTAGGGAGTAGGGAGAGGGGGTAGCCACTGATTGGGAAAGGGCCAAGATGTGAAATATGAAGTAAAGCAGGAAGTGAAACAGGAAGTGAAGTATGAAGTAAAGCAGGAAGTGAAACAGGAAGTGAAGTAGGAAGTGAAACAGGAAGTAGTTTGGTGTAGACATGGCAGGTCTTACCAGTGACGATGATGTTGACAGCGCTGCTGCTGTCTCGGTGTTTGGACTCACACCAGTACACTCCACTGTCAGGTGGCTTCACAGAACTCAGGACACAGGTGGAGGACTTGGGACTGCCCCACCCAGAACCACATTCAGACASCTGCAACCTGGAGACACACGGTCCARCTGAGTCCMGGACACAATGACTAGAAKAAGCTGAGCCCAGCTCCTGGTTCCKCCTGTGCTGGACTCACTGAYGGAAKCTTAGCTGCACTTTGACCAGCTTCTACTCATCCTGTCCAGCTGTTCTGTTAGTAAAATATCTCCTGCAGCTCCATCAAACTCAGCTTGTTAGAAAGACTCACATCTGTCAAACTGTTGGATCAAAGTAACGTGTGCAGGACCTGTTTAGTTTCATGATGGGATCAGGTCCAGAACCTGTAAAGGTTCTTTTCAGMTTTTTATTGGACCCATTGAATAAACTCTGATGGGTTGTGAGTCCTGACAGAAACCATCCAGGYCTCCGGTTAGAGGGACTAAATGTGACCTGAGAGAAGAGGAACATTTGGCTTCTGTTGTGGTGGACTGACCCGTTGGTGGTGTATCTCCACACCCTCCATTCACCAGAACCTGAACAGCTGATGCTGACCCCCTCATACTCCAAAAACTGAGAGCGAACAGGAGAGACGCTCAGAGAGGCTGAAAGACACAGAAATGAAACAAGACATCAACATGATCCAGAACATCTGAGGARGGACAGAAACCCAGCAGGACACCATAAAACTGTCCCCAGAGACATCCCTGATGGTCCATTAAAACCTGCTTCTGTTTGGACCTGCAGCCTCACAGCAGAACCATCAGGGTTCTTCTCTTCTTCTTTTGTGCTTTATTGGCAGATGGCAAACCAACTTCAGGTGCATTTACTGCCACCTACTGTACTGGAGTGTGGATATCAATGATAGTCAGAGGGAATGATTTTCTACTTAATGAGGATTCTCCAAAACTGTAATGTACAACAACTGATTATTAAATGAAAATTATTTATTTAACCCCCTAGAATGTTTAATTCTCAGGCATTTTTGTTTTTCTGTTTTTTTCAACTCAAGTTAAACATAATGGTAAAAAAGTTGCCTTGAAAATGAGTAAATAATTAAATAAATAAGCCAGGTAATGGCAGGTGCAGAAAACAGCAGTTTCCAAAATACATTGTCCAAAATATGTCAGAAGCTCACACAAATGAACAAATTCCATGAGATTCCACATTTTATACTGGGCTCCATTTTGTGTAAATTCCATGATTCTGGCAGCAATTTCCACATTGCAGAAATCATAGGGCTCTAAGTGCTGTGTTTATTAAAATTTTTTACACACCTGGGAAATTTTTCCACATACTCCCTGTAATATGCTTGTGTACCCCTGGTTAGGAATCACTGCTTTAGACAGTGTGAAGGGCTGAAGGAACTGTCCAAGGTCCTGAAAGTGCTGGTATGTCTCAGGACTTTAGACAGTGTGATGGACCAAAGGAACTGTCCAAGGTCCTGAAAGTGTTTAAATGTTTCAGGACTTTAAACAGTGTGAAGGACTGAAGGAACTGTCCAAGGTCCTGAAAGTGCTGGAATGTTTCAGGACATTAAACAGTTTGAAGGACTGAAGGAACTGTCCAAGGTCCTGAAAGTGCTGGAATGTCACAGGACTTTAGACGGTGTGAAGGACTGAAGGAACTGTTCAAGGTCCTGAAAGTGTTGAAATGTTTCAGGATATTAAACAGTTTGAAGGACGGAAGGAACTGTCCAAGGTCCTGAAAGTGTTGAAATGTTTCAGGATATTAAACAGTTTGAAGGACGGAAGGAACTGTCCAAGGTCCTG